TCTAGAGCTATTAAAGAAGAATATGATATGGAAAAAAAAGCTTAATTTCTAAAAATATTCTAAAAACAAAATTGAAAATTTTGATTTCAAATGTTAAAACCTTCTTTAAAATAGATCATCATTGATAATTATAATAACTCTTTATTTCAAATTCTGTTTAGTAATTTTCATATTGCACAAAACATGTTTTTATTTGTACAAATTAAGCACGACGCCTATATAATATCACGTTAAAGTACACTGTTTCCATCAATAAAGGTAGATATCAGTTGAGGTCAGACTCTACTTCACCTGCCACAGTTAAGATTACGGTACCTTTATCACAGTTAAACCACTTTATTGATGCACCGTTTCTCAAAACATACATTTATAAAGTCAATTTACATACATTTTTTATGTCGATTTGCGTGCGTTAAAAATGTCAATTTTAATCTGCATTTAAAATGTCAATTTTACATGCAATCGAAATGCCAATTTATATGCATTTAAAATGTCAATTTATAAGAATTTAAAATGTCAATTTATATGCATTTAAAATGTCAGTTTATCTGCATTTAAAGTGTCAATTTACATGCATTTTGAATTTCAATTTTTATGCATTTGAAATGTTTATTGCCTACATTTACATCCATTTAAATTGTGTACATGCCCTATCTTTCACATTTCTAATTGAAGTGATACAAATGACTAGTTTACGTTATAAAAACTAGACACATTTACGTTGATGTTTACTTTAAAGAGAGTTTAATCTATTAAATGAATATTAACTTTTCTTTAAAAAAGGTAATTGCTTGACTGCTTGTATTAACGAAGAAAGTTATTTCTTTAGTGCTAAATATCACAATTTTTATTTATATGCGTTAATGTACAGAAAAGAAATTACACTAGTTATATGTTTTACATAAAACTGGACGCAAATTTAAGTTTATATTTTTTTATAATGATAAAAAAAAGAAGGCCAGTAAAATAAGCTCCAATATAAAGTAACTACATTTTCATTACTTATTATATAAGGTAATCACATTTTCATTGCATCTGGTGTAGAATAATTACGTTTTCATTACTTTTCCTAAAAAAGTAATTTTCTTTAACACTAATTATAGGTCAACTTTTAAAAGCTTTCGGCAATGTAAGCGAAATTTTAGATTTAATATACGATGCAATTTTGTTGGCAACATTAAAACATAAAAATCCCAATGCCAGTTAAGATATAAAGTTTATAAAAGCAGGTTTATAAAAATAATGTTTTTAATTAAAATCAGATTAGTACCAGTGAAATTGTAATACGGAAATATATTTCATAGAATCTATGGGAATTGAAAATTGGATTAGAAATTTTACACTTTAATTTAAGAGGAATTATTAACAAACCACAACGTAGATATTAAAAAAAGGTAAATGTGTGAGTGATATTAGTCAGATTTTACGTATTGAGTACACATTCAACTTTAATGTTTTTTAATTGTAAATATTATTATGTATAAACTTGTTAAATCAGTTGCACGACAAACTGTTGATTATTTCCCTTTGTGCATACCTTTTAGTGCGTATGCATTTTTAAACTATGTGACTCGTCTTCCACCTACTACACCGGCCTATTTCTGGTCGTTTTACACCTTTCAACTTTTTTTTTTAAACTTAAAATGAATATTGTATACATGTAATACAATATGTTTTGCAGCATTTCTAAAATTTACAAATTATACTATTTTAGATTAGCTGTACATTCACGTTATTGTTTAAGGGAAGTAACCTACCCTAACAAGTTCGTGGGAAGGAGCCTGCTCCGATTTATAAAGAAAATTGCTTTTAGTTAGCTACTAACAGAAAGATTTTGTAGTTGTTGATTTTAGTTTGATCTTAACAGCTGTTCGTATTGTTAATTAAGTTAGTACGATGCTTATTTCTGTGTTTAAATGTTTTAATTTTTTTTTAGAAAGTATTACAAATTTAAAATAATTTTTTGGAAGGCTTGTTTTGGTAGTAAACTAATTTGTGTAAGACATTTTCTGTTGCACAATTCGAAAATATCGATCTAAAAATTATATTTTGAATCTGTTAAACTACAGAGAAAAAGACAATTTTATAGCACCAGCTGGCTATTTTGTTACATATATTACGACACTTTAGACACATTGTTTCTTTAAATTATTTATTTTGGGCTAAATATTTTTTTTAAAAAGATCCTCTTTACGTCGTGACGATCAATAGGGCTGAAGAAGTAGAAGTCAACTTTTTTTTTTTTTACCATGGGATATGAAGGGACAGTATGGTCAGCACTATGTCCAGCCGCATTAACTTTACCTAATGTGAGTCAGGTACCCATCAGAGCTGGGTGGACTCAGGGGACGTCTTACAGACTCATGTCAGGTTACAAACGTGAGGTTCGTAATCCGACCCACCAGTCATATAAATAAAAATGTTTTTATCAATTTTATTCAAATCTTAGTTATTTCCCTTTAAAGAGTTTTCAAATATTTACTCTATTTTACACATTAAGCAGAAAATATTTTTTGAATTATATTAAAAACTTGAAATATGAACAGAAGTAATTCATTAAAAATAAACATGAAATAGCTTTATTGCTAAATTAAAATGATATATTAGTTAGGTAGCTATAATTTATTGTAAAACATAACTTGCACCGTAGCCCAGTAACAATTTAATTAATACAATCTTTAGAAGATTTAGAATTTTTTAAACAAACACCAAAATAATCAGTTGCTTTGTATGATAATCCCATTAAAATTAACTTAGTATAGAAGTTTTAGTTTTCATTAACTTTACACTTAAAATGAAAATAAATGTATAACTTGCACAATCACCAAAACTAAAAAATATTCTGTCTCCAACTTAGATGTCATACTTTTAAATACTCAACCCATTGATTTAGTATTATACTAGCAAGCATTTGACACTTTCAAAAGCACAAGCAGTAGTTTGTCTGCTTGTTCGATTTAATTGTATTTTTAAAAAGAGTAAATAAATATTAAACATTTAAATTTTTTTATTTTGCATTTAAAGAGATCTCGCATTATTCTAAGCTAAAAAAAGATTAATAAAGCATACCACTTGTTTTATGTCATTTAAATCATTCCAAATATAAACCAAATAAATTCAGTTTCCCGCAATGCTCCCAAGAGAGGATAAGGTTTTCAGTAAGCGCTTACAGTAAAGAATTGATTTGCACAATTAACTGCTTACTTTTGAAGTACTAAAATAAGAAGTTATGATAATCAGTACAAGTGATATTTTAGAACTGAAATTAGTTTAAATTAATTTAAGTTCAATTAGATGTGTTAGAATTAATTAAAGTCTAGTCATTCCTGTGTAATTAATTATATAAATATCTTTTCATATTGTACATACAAATTTTACCACGACACCGTTCTTTATTTTAATTAAATTATTACATTTACCGGCTATTACTAGTATTACAAACTGTTTAAACTTGTTATTGATTGTATTTATCTCTTTAAATAAATGACAAAAATTGAAGGTTTGTGTTGTTTTTCTTTTAAAAAATATTTAGCTTTCGTATTTTTTCATTTTATTCTGCGAACCGAAATAACATCTAAATTAGCTTTTATATTTATTCATTATAATTCTTTCATCCACAAATCCTTCCTTGCTTGTTATTTTACTAAATTAATACTTTCAACAATTAGATGCGTAACGACCCATTTTTGCGCCGTTGAGAACTATTAGTTTTGGACCTCTCCTCCATTTATATTTATCCACTTTGGCGATAAAACGCCCCCACCCCTCTCATTTAGAAAGATTACGACCGCAATATACATGCTCAATGGCGTAGCGAGGTCGGGTGTCACCAGGTGCGGCACTTAATGGTGTCACCCCCCCCCCCCCCCCAGAGGCGTAGCGACCCTTCCCGGGGACAAACTTTCAAATTTTTGATTTGCACCCCCCTCAAACTTTCGATTTGCACCTCCCCCCTCAAGTTTTCGATTTGCACTCCCCCTCAAACGTTCGATTTGCACCACCCCCCCCCTCAAGTTTTTCTCTATATATTTTGCAATTTTTTCCTTGGTGTCACCCCCCTAAATGGTGTCACCCGGTGCGGTCCGCACCCCCCGCCCCCCCTCGCTACGCCCCTGTACATGCTACTCCATAGCTTTTACTGAAGTGTCCTTAAACTCAATAGAAGTCTGTTTTCTTTTAGGGGCGTAGTACATCAGCTCAGGAAAAGCTTGTTATTTATTTTTCTACCTATTTTAGCGCCCCCTTATGGTCGGCCGCTCCACTTGCCCATCCCTAGCTACACCTCTGAATAATTTTGAGCTTGTGATCTTTATGAAGTCTTAGCTGTTCGTTACGTAATTTTAAAACCACTTATAGACTGGGAGAATGTCTTTTAAATTTTTTTAAACAACTTTTATCTTACGTGTGATTGGCTAAATCTTCTGTTTATAATATGACAGCATAGTCAAACAGACTTTTAGACGATTTGAAAAAAGAAAAAAAAATTCAATCCGTCGTGTGATAAGCTTAATCTTCTGTTCGTAATACGACACCATAGTCTAATAGATGATTGCGCATTGGAATCCCAAGCACAAAGCCTGTGAGTTAAGTAGAGCCAGGTGTTGCCATCAGTGGCGTAGCCAGGATCGTGGGGGGGGGGGGGTCCAATTTTTACCCGGGGACAAACTTTCGATTTGCACCCCCCTCAAAGTTTCGATTTGCACCCCCCCTCCTCAAAGTTTCGATTTGCACCCCCCCTCATACTTTATATATATATACCGAGGGGTCTATGGGGTGGGGGGTTATACCCCCCTACCCCCCCTGCCTACGCCACTGGTTGCCATGTATCAGACCTCCACACAGCTGAAGGACCTAAGGGGCAGGACGTTACCCATACAACTGTTAATCAGATGTGTATGTGTGTACCTTCTCGTTCAATTTTTCTCGTCATTGCTAGCTTTAAAAGTAAATTTAAAAGTTCGTTAAAAAATAAAACACATACCAACATTATTTAATTATATAGGCATTTTATTAAAACAGTAATAACAATGTTCAAATTAAGTGAATATTTTAACCGGATTTGTATACATTGACTGTTAGCGAGATCACACTAGAGGGAAACTACTCATCTAAAATATACAAACTAAATAAGATTAGCGAAGTTATCTGCCTTGCTCCAATACTTCATCGGTTAAATGTTTTAGACAATAAAAACGCAGATAATTTATTACTATTTCAGAACTTTTTTGTGTTTCAATTCGAACTATTAAACAATTTAGTGTTAGTGTAGATGGAAATGGTACATTGGTAGGGAATAATGTAGGAATGAAATTTTATGAAATGCTTCCATGGCAACATTTTTATTCAAAACAAGACTGAATTTTTTTAATTAAACGATAATTTCTATTGCAGTTTAAACTGACTATATATTCATAATTAGGTGAGGCTAATAAAATAAAATTAAAACAATATAACAAACCTATAACTATTAAAGTGGTTTCACCTTTTTTTCTTATAATAATGTAGATGTATACATAATTAAGTTTTCACGTTTTTTTTCTACGGAAAAGCAATTTTACAAGAAATATTAAACACTTAAATAAATTGGTTGTTCTAATAAAAAATACGATCGTCTACTAAAACATTTTATTTTATAAAATAAAAAAATAAAAAATTGTTTCATAAACACGGTCGTTAAAAAATAATTAACAATATTTCAACCGCCTTAACATATAGAGCATGCTGTTTTATTTTTCAAATTCGTTTTTTTCTGTAATATTGAACAAGCCGGACAAACCCATAGGAGTCACTATAAAAAGGACAGGATTTAGACGTGATTAGGCCCTAAGATGTTTGAGGTATGTGGCCCCCACCTTAAGCCTATGTTTTATTTATATGTTACCGAAGTTCACCTATGTTCTACAGTTTTCATGGTAACAAATAATGGAGCTGTATATTTAAGTCTACATCGACTGTATAGAAGATACATTTGGCATGTCCACTTTTTTGGGAAATCAATGTACAGTTATACTTATATAGGCAATAATAGAAATCGCCAGAGCACTTATGTTAAACATAAAATATTAAAGTGCTTATATTCTTTTTGACATTTTAAAATAATAATTTGCACTATTTATATATACGATTGAGATTTATAAACACGTTTTTCTCGAGATTTTTTTTTAACATAATGAATTTGTCCTCTATACAATCGATATGTCTATCGTACATTTACAACAATATGTGGGGGTGGGGGCTTCCAATAAAGTGGGGGCCTTAAGCTATAGTTTGTTTAGGTTATACGCAAATCCGGCACTGACTTTAAGATACAATCAACTTGCAAAACAACAATCCCAATCAAAGTTGACGTCAACATTCAATCATTAATGTAAATAAAATGTGCATAATAAAAACAGGGTGCTTGTTACTTAGTAATACTCATCATCTTTTTTCCCCGTTCGTGCTTAAGATGAGGCAGATGAAGTAGAGTTCTTCTGTTTCAGAGACCTTGGCATATGAAGGGATAGTGTAGTCAGCACTATGCCCAGCCGCCTTTACTTTCCCTAACGTGAACTAGGCACCCGTTAGCTGGGTGAACTCAGGGACGACTAACTTGAACACAGATTCGAACTCGAGACTTTCGTGTTAGCAGTCTAGCGCTCTACCACTAGGCCACGCCGTAACGTGGTACTACAGAAGAGAGGGAAACGTAGTGTATTTTGCTTGAGGAAAAAGATTTATTCGTTTTCTGAATCGCTAAAAAAGACTAATTCCTATTTTTTAAATACATTTTTTCTTCATAGAATTATTCAAAACTGTGTAATAAAGAAAAAAAATATTCGAAGAATCAGAAGGTAAATAATTTGAGTAGTAACAACTTCATCATACAACAGTGTTAAAATAGAATAAATTATATCCGTGTTGCAAAATTGTGTAATGGGTGCTGTAATAAAACTATTTTAAGCAATATTATCGCGATATTCTAAAAAAATATTGACCAACCGCACCCCCTCCCCCTGATGCTCTACTGTTTCGTCACCGGAGTCTTTGTCGTTATTTAACAGACAATAACATTTTCTCTGTCTAAAGTTAAGATTTTCATGACCGCGACAAAGCATCGAATATGTTATCCTGATCGAGAAAAGATTGTACAATATGACTTTTAAGAGTAAAAAAATGCAGTTTGTTGGATTTATATAATGGAACCAACTAACTAAAATATAAAAACTCTGGTTCCGAGTACAGAAAAAAAAGTTGTAATCAAACAAATTATGTTGGATCTTGGCAGCCAGGATGAATCTGTAAAGAGAAAAAAATTGGAAAATAATAATTAAAGTAAGTTCATCTTTAGTAATATGATTTTAAAATATATAACAAAATTGTACGCGTTTAAATGAAAACACTTAAATAACGTGTTTCGCATTTGTTAGGTATATATATATATATATATATATATATATATATATATATATATATATATATATATATATATATATATATATATATATATAGGCAAAGGTATAGAAAAGAATTGGCAACCCATGATTGGATAAGCCCTGGTAGTGGCCCGGTGTATTTAGTTAAGTTCTCTGGGTGCTTTCATTGTTTTCGAGTCACAATATTAGCCACGTTTTTAAATGGTATTTATTTTTCGGGAAAAATTTAATTTTAAATGGAAAATCAGCAGGTTAATGACTCTGCCCATACAACCATTAATGTAATACCTGCGGTATTTTATAATATTCTTAGAAACCTTAAACTTTGTTTATAAACATTTTAATTCATGACATATGATCAGATTTGTGATACGTTTGAATATCTCTTACTCGTGGATCCTGCCTTGGTTACGGTGAAATACGCCTCGTACGTTCGACCGTTGATGACCACTTGCAAGACGTACGACGTCACGCCCTCGTTGCCGGTGTCAAAGATGGTGACGTCCAACTCATTTTTGTAGTTGGTATAGATCACGCTGTAGGTATAGCTGCTCAGTTCGGTGAACGGAGCCTCCTTTCTGTACATCCGGTAACTGGTAGGTGGGTACCGGGTGACGAGGACAAGTTGGAAGTGCGTGTCGCTGTCGATGAGTGCGGTGACCTGTTTGTTGTTCTGGATGTACGGCTGGTTTTCCGTCGTGGTGTCGCCGGGGTAAGGCGTGGTGGTGCTGGCTAGATAGTAAGGGTGGGTTGTCATGACAACGAGATGAAAGAGGTAATAAGAAGTAGAGATTGCTTTAATTTAGATTTTTAGTGTGGGGGAACAGGACTGTTTAGATTGAAGAAATGAAATTTCAGCTTATACCTGTCTTTAAAACATTTGAGAAAATACGTATTTTGAACCAGTATCTTTCTAATAATTTATGTAACTTTAATCAATTCTTAATTGGCGTGTTGATGCCAGTTTTAAAGTAAATCACTTTGTTCATTGTATAGAAATAATTTATTATGAACAAACAACCACAGAGTGTAGACTGGCCCGCCGGTCTACCTGTGGGCCCACAGGAAATAATCTAAAAAGGCCCCAAGAAAAAATCTCGGTGGGCTCCCAGGAAATAATCTATAAGGGCCCCCAGGAAAGGTGCTGTAATCGTCCTAATTATGTTTTGATTAAAAATAAATTTTAATTTTTAATTTTTAATTTTACAATTTCGATTATTTCAGAAGAAAGATTAAAATTCAGGCTTTGATCGAGAACAAAATGCACAGTAAAAATTCACATAGGTTGGGGTGGGGGGCATTTAGAATTTCCCGGGCCTCTTGGACACAGCCAGTCTACCCCTGGCCACAGTGAATGGGTAGCAGAGAACAGCTCAAGGACCGTGGCTATTCTGTATTTCTTCCAGACTTTTTCTCCGGGGGGGGGGGGGTACTTAATATTTTCCTGGGGGGGGGGGGGGCACTGGTAAAAATTCTAACAATAATGTTCTCTTGGACATGAAATATTGTTTTCACGTTATGCGAAAGAGTATAGACTGTGGCAGCTATAATATAAATTTAAGTCATTATATAAACAAACCCTACTCAAATACTTATAATACTACAATTCGATGCAATGTAAATGTAAATTCACTGCATGTGATAACATGTGTTGCGGCTATCATATCATGTGTTAACATGTGTTACGACTGTCATATCATGTGTTAACATGTGTTAAGACTGTCATATGATATGTTAACATGACAAATTGCTAGTGGACAACCCTTCGCTGTTGTCAAACAACGTGTGGGCCAATCATCTAAGCTCTGATGGGTATCTGACTTAGGCTGGGGAAAGTAAACCCAGCTGCGCACAGTACTGACCACACCATCCTTTTACCTGCCGAGGTCAAGAAACATATGTACTCTACTTCATCTGCGGGGAGGAGGGCGGAGTCCCCCTGAAGAGATGCCTGGCACCATGTGTACAGGGTGTCCGGTCATAAACCCCCTGGACAAAAACCCCCGACATGTGTACAGAGTACTGAACTATTCATACACCATCTGTACTCAACTACATTATTCATACACCATTTATAATCAGTAATTAAATATTCAGACACCATGCGAACTTAGTACTTAACTATTCATACACCATGTGTACTTAGTACTTAACTATTCAGACACTTTGTAAACTTAGTGCTTAACTATTCACACGCCATGTGAACTTAGTACTTAGCTACCACGTGAACGTAGTACTTAACTATTCAGACACCTTGTGAACTTAGTACTTAACTATTCATACCCCATATGAACTTAGTACTTAACTATTCAGACACTTTGTAAACTTAGTGCTTAACTATTCACACGCCATGTGAACTTAGTACTTAACTACCACGTGAACTTAGTACCTAAATATTCAGACACCTTGTGAACTTAGTACTAAACTATTCATACCCTATGTGAACTTAGTACTTAACTATTTACACGCCAAGTGTACTCACCAATGTCCATGACCTTGGTGACCCGCACGTACATTCTGTAGTTGAAGACTTCAGTGGAGAGAGTGAGCAAGTACAGCTTCAAGTCCTGCGTCCATTGGTCCAACACGACAAGCTGCACGCCTCTGTTGCTGCTGTCGTAGATGAGGTTGTAACTAGTCCACGACAGCTCTGTCGTCACGTACTCATAGTTGTAGTTGTAGCTGAAGAGGTACAGGTGGGGGTTGTAGGGCGGGGTGGTGGTGTCCAGGGGTATGAAGACGGCTGAGTTGTTATTGAAGGAGGAGGAGATGCTGATGTTTCTCTCGATCACCGGTTTGGTTGGTGATGTGGTGGTGCCTCTGGGTGCTGTGGTGGTGTTCCAGGGTGATGCGGTGATGTTTCCGGATAGTGTGGTGATGTTTCCGGATGATGCGTTGGTGTTTCCGGTTGATGAGGTGGTGTTTCTGGGTGCTGCGGTGGTGTTTCCGGGTGCTGCGGTGGTGTTCCAGGGTGATGCGGTGATGTTTCCGGATGATGCGTTGGTGCTTCCGGTTGATGAGGTGGTGTTTCCGGGTGCTGCGGTGATGTTTCCGGATGATGCGGTGGTGTTCCAGGGTGATGCGGTGATGTTTCCGGATGATGAGGTGGTGTTTCCGGGTGCTGCGGTGGTGTTTCTGGACGCTGGTGTAATTGTGGAAATTGGAGCTGTAGAAAAGACAAAAAGATGATAAACTATAGTTTTAAAATCATTTCCGTTTAATTAACATTGTCATATAGTTAGTCCTATCGCCCAAACATTTTTCAGTGTGTGGCGTGGGGGAGGGGGGGGGGGAGGGAGTGTCGGTATTTTATTTCTGACCGGGTGGAAATGTGTTTAAACTAGAAGATTTTATAGCGTTAATTATAAACTTTGTTGTCATGTTTGTTGTCATGATCTTCTTCAATACTTATTATATGAGCTATAATAATTTATTTACTGAAGGTCACTGAACTTTGAATTACAGAGTGCGCCTACCTAATTACGAATTAAAATCAAAAGATTGTGAATATATATATATATATATATATATATATATATATATATATATATATATATATATATATATATATATGGTTCCATGACAAATGATCTCAGACAAAATATCCAAGAAAAAATACCTTACAGACAAATGATCCCAGGGCAAATGATCTCAGATTTTCCATCGGGAAACCAGATCGTCCAGTATTATACTAAACTTAACGGGGTTTTGTATGCGTATAGGTTTTTATATTTGTTGTTTTTAATGGAGTGTTGGTGGTGGAAGGTTTTGAGGCAGACATGCAATTTTCCATCGGTACACCGGGTCGCCTAGTATTGTACTAAAGGGGTTTTTATATGCTTGTATGTTAATACATTTGTTGAATTACATAAGTTTAAAGCAATCTTATCTGCAATACACGCACCATTAAAGATTTCATTTTTATTTAATGAAAATTCAAATAGTAAATGAATGCATGTAGACCTATCAAATTTAAATTGAAGAATGTAATACATGTTCAAGATTTATCAACTGGTTAAAATGTAATCATTTTACTACCTCAGCACAGTATTTCGTGTCTATTAAAATTAAAACGGGATAATTATGACACTAGCGTCTAATAATACTACAGAGATGGAGGCTCCTTAAAATGGGTGTTAGGTTATTATTAGTAAAAGAAAGTTCCTTTTTCGAACCTAATGGTCCATGAGGCAAGTGAAGTTCACTCGTTTCTGTGACTTCTGCATATAAAGGGATAGTGTGGTCAGTATTATGTCCAGCCAACTTTAGTTATTTAGGTACCTAACAGAGTTTGGATGGACTCAGCGACGTTCTACTGACTTAAACCCGGATTCGAACTTAAGACTTTCGGGTTAGCAGTCCAGCGCTCTACTGCTAGGCCAGGGTGGTCTAAACACAAGCCCCATTCCTTACCCAAATCATAGCAAAAAGCGTAGTTTATGTCTCTAAAACTGTATAATATGATGTTACAACACTACTAATGAATGTAGCCCAGCTGTTCATAGTGATGTAGCTCAAATACTTCAATGTTAAAAACTCAGAAGTAAATTCCAGAGATAAAGTGTAATGACCAGAGTTTCTTTCAGGCATCTCATCGGGAGGAGCACCCCCTCCTCCTACGAAAGTTTACAGTCCCCCGAAAGGACAACGATTTATACACACAATTTATATATCAACCAGTATCCGACCCCCCGGAAATTTAAGTCCGACCCCCGGAAGTTTAAATCCGACCCCGGAAATTGAAGTTCGCGACGGCCCCTTCAAAAGTTTCCACGGCCATAGGGTAAAAATGTCTTAAAGAAACAAACGGAACTGACCTGAAGTGACCGCTGCCTCTGTAATGACAGTAAACTTGACCTCCAGCAGTTCATTGGTACCTTGCAAGACGATTTTGTAGCTTCGCGTCCCGATCGCCGTGTTGTCTGCCAGCGTTAGGTTGATCTGTCGTGTCGTGCTGTCGTAGCTCGCCGTGTAGGACGAGCCCGACAGCTGGAGCACGGTAGGGCTGACCTGGTGCAGGGTGATGCTGCTGGGTGTGGTGGAGAAGTTGGCCGGCAGCCGCAGGGGGGTGTTCAGCCCCGCCGGCACCCTGAAGGTGAAGTCTGAGGTGGGTGGGGTTGTGGTGTTGGTGGTGGACGACGGGGTAGTACCTGCACATTTTTAAAAATTTATTATATTTTTTTTCGGGTGACTTAAAAAAAATTAATCATCCGAGGATATTATCAAATTTGTTCGAAAGGCCAATTAAATATTTTAAAACATCATGCACGATGTTTATAAAATAAATATGGCTGGACAAAAAAATTGATGTAATTGATGTTTTTAGTATTTTCGGCAACAAAGTAAAAAAAAAGCAAACATTTTAATTGTATACATTTTTCACAGAAATTTAAGGTAAAATTGACCAAAATTTAAAAATTGTATCAGTTTTGAGTACAAATTACAACGAATTTATTTTTTTAAAGTGGAGTTTTGAGAATATCTTTTTGTCTTACAAAAGTGGAACTTCAGGTTACAACTTAGGCTGGATGAAAATAAATAGAAATGTAACCTTAAACTTAAACTAATTATTTTAAAGTTTTCTGGATTTGCAACTTCTATAACATTGATTCTAAAAATATTAAATTTCTGAGTTGTTTTCAGTCTTAAGTTTTTATTTTTTATTATTATTCTACGGCCACTTTAACTGCAAAATCTAAAAAAAAAAATGTTTTTAAAAAAATAATTCATATCAATAATTATATATATATATATATATATATATATATATATATATATATATATATATATATATATATATATATATATATATGTATGTATGTATGTATATATATACAGATATATATATATATATATATATATATATATATATATATATATATATATATATATATATATATATATGTATAAATAAACTTACTTGAAGTTATGATTTGCTCTATTTTTAGATCTAAGCGTTTCGTCATGACATCCTCTCCATCCTCCACCACACAATAAAAGGGAGCCGACTCCAGGCTCACAGCACTCGGCCTAAAGGTCAAGGTTGAGTAGGTGTACAGTTTCAGACACCTGGAGGTGGCGAGTGTCATGGTGTACGTGATGCTATTTGCAAACGGGTAGCCATTAAAGATGGCGGCCATGGAGTCTAGGTATTTCCACGTCAGTATGGAGTTGTTGGATCCCTGAAGACGAAAGAGTGAGAGTCCTTGTTAGCGATATGTTGGATTTCAAATGTCCTGTTAATATCATCTCTATTGTTTTTCTAGTGGGATGTGACGATGTAAACATGGTTATAAAGTATGTCAAGTAATGCAAAGTTTCTCTTTCCAAACCTGACGGTCTATGGGGCAAGTGAAGTAGATCACCGGTTTCTGTGATCTCCTCATGTGAAGGGATTGTGTGGTCAGCACTATGCCAACCCCTAAATAAATATAGTAGATATCTTACTATCTGAGCACTCACCGTTGCGTTACACGTTAATGTGATGGGCTGATTAGATTTGTAAACCGTGATGTTATTCTCCTGTCGGTCAAAGTTCGAAGGGTAAAGGGCTGCCTCAAATATACCTAAAGAAAAACGTTATTCATTTAAAAAAAATAAAATAAATAAAAAATAAAAACTTCTTATAATTATAAATGACTGCATAGTTTTCGAATATCAGTAGGTGACATCTGATATTTTGAATGGTTGCCATGGCAACGATTTGTAGCATCCATTTAAACTACAGTCTAGCAGTAACTCGTAGCAAAGTTTATCTCTGTTTCTACGGTTAGCCAAGTTAGTCTTAGACCTATCTGCTCTCTTCTTAATCCCGTTCGTGCCCAAGACACATGCCCAGCCGCCTTTGATTCCCTAACGTTAATTAGGTAACTATCAGAGCTGGGTGGACAGATTTGAACCCGATTCGAACTCGAGACAATCGGGTTAGCATTCTAGCTCTCTACAGCTAGGTAACAGCCGTACCCGTCCTAGACCTATAGCCGTGGCCAAATCCCAGTACATACACTTTCTTCATTTTCGTTCTCAACTGTAATGTTGGAAGAGGTTTCTTCAAACACAACAAAGTGTCAACCTGTTATGCGCCATATGACTTAGTTTCGGCCTATTTTTTCATAGTGGATTTGATTCCAAAGCTTTTGTTCAACCCAGAACAAACTACAAGGTTGCAGTTGTTTGAATCGGGCGTTGAATCATGCCATTGTGAGTTTGTGTGTGTGTGTGTGTGTGAGGGGGGGGGGTCTGCGTGTGTGTGTAGGTATAACTACCTTTAACGGTCAGGTTCTGGAATGCAGACGCCTGAAACTAGACGTTAGAACCCGAGTACTTGTAGGTGAGTTTGTGTTTGTGTGTGTATGTTTGTGTGTGTATGTGTGTGTGTGTGAGTGTGTGTGTGAGTGTGTGAGCGTGTGTGTGTGTGTGTGTGAGTGTGTGTGTGTATGTGTGTATGTGAGTGTGTGTGTGTGTGAGTGTGTGTGTGTATGTGTGTATGTGAGTGTGTGTGTGTGTGTCTGTGTGTGTGTGTATGTGTGTATGTGAGTGTGTGTGTGTCTGTGTCTGTGTGTGTATATGTGGGTGTATAACTACCTCTAACAGTCAGGTTCTGGAATGCAGACGCCTGGAACTGGACGTTAGAACCCGAGTACTTGTAGGTGAGTTTGTGTTTGTGTGTCTGCGTGTGTCTGCGTGTGTGTGTGTGTGTGTGTATAAGTACCTTTAACGGTCAGGTTCTGGAATGCAGACGCCTGGAACTGGACGTTAGAGCCCGAGTACTTGTAGGTGAGTTTGTGTTTGTGTGTCTGCGTGTGTCTGCGTGTGTGTGTGTGTGTGTGTATAAGTACCTTTAACGGTCAGGTTCTGGAATGCAGACGCCTGGAACTGGACGTTAGACCCAGAGTACTTGTAGGTGACGTTACACCTGTAGAGGGCAGCGTCCTGGCAGGAGGTGTCGTAGACCTGCAGGCTGATCCTCAGAGAGTCCCTGGTGTTGGACAGGAAGTTGCCGGACAGCTGGATGTCCCATTGTCTCCCTGCTGACTTTTGCTGGGGGAGAGATGGAGGTCTATAGTGTTACACTGTAGGTCTTTAGTGCTGGTGGTACACTGTAGGTCTTTAGTGCTGGTGGTACACTGTAGGTCTTTAGTGCTGGTGGTACACTGTAGGTCTTTAGTATTGGTGGTACACTGTAGGTCTTTAGTATTGGTGGTACACTGTAGGTCTTTAGTATTGGTGGTACACTGTAGGTCTTTAGTACGTGTGCTACATTTTAGGTCTTTAGTACTGGTGCTAAATTTTAGGTATTTAGTACTAGTGCTACATTTTCTATAATGATCCACTGTAGGTATTTAGTACTGGTGGTACACTGTAGGTCTTTAGTATTGGTACTACATTTTAGATCTTAAGCACTAGTGCTGCATTGTAGGTCTTTAGTACTGGTGCTACAATTTAGGTCTTTAGTACTGGTACTACATTTTAAGTCGTTAGAACTGGTTGGTTTTAAGTGCTATACAATATTAAATGGTAGCTCTTTAGTTCTACATTGTAAGTCTTTTACCCTACATTGCTAGACTACCGATACATTGTAGGCCTTTAGTACTAGGCGTGCGCTATGTGTACATTTACAGACTTCCTGTGGCGAGTTCGTAATGAACATTTACATACATAAAATATCAGTAGAAGGTGCTACAGACAGACATTTAAAATATAGCAATTAAAATATACGAGAAGACCCGCCGCGTAATTCATACGCCACTGTGATGAGGTAACCGGTTGATTAAGTAATTTTGAGGTAACCTGTCGATTGCATAATGATGAGGAAACTTGTTGATTGTGTAATAATGAGGTAACCAGTTGATTGCATAATGTTAAGTTAACCGGTTGATTGTGTGCTGTTGAAGTAACCACTAAATAGTAAATAGTGTAATGTTGAGGTAACCGTTTGATTGCGTAATGATGAGGTAATGGATTGTGTAATGAGATAACCGGTTGCTTGTGTAAATAGGTAACCGGTTGATTGTGTAATAATGAGGTGACCGGTAGATTGTGTAATGTTGAGGTAACCGCTTGATTGTGAAATGTTGAGGTAACCGTTTGATTGTGAAATGTTGAGGTAACCGTTTGATTGTGAAATGTTGAGGTAACCGTTTGATTATGTAACGACGAGCTAACTGGTTGATTGTGTAATGTTGATGGAAACCTATTATTTTGTAATGAGGTAGCCGATTGATTGTGTAACGATGAGGTAACCAGTTGATTGTGTAATGATGAGGTAACCGGTTGATTGTATGCTGTTGAAGTAACCACTAGATTGTGTGCTGTTGAAGTAACCACTAGATTGTGTGCTGTTGAAGTAACCACTAGATTGTGAGCTGTTAAAGTAACCACTAGATTGTGTGCTGCTGAAGAAACAAATATATTGTGTGCTGTTGAAGTAACCACTAGATTGTGTGCTGTTAAAGTAACCACTAGATTGTGTGCTGTTGAAGAAACCACTAGATTGTGTGCTGTTGAAGTAACCACTAGATTGTGTGCTGTTGAAGTAACCACTAGATTGTGTGTTGTTAAAGTAACCACTAGATTGTGTGCTGTTGAAGTAACCACTAGATTGTGTGCTGTTGAAGTAACCACTAGATTGTGTGCTGTTGAAGAAACCACTAGATTGTGTGTTGTTAAAGTAACCAATATATTGTGTGCTGTTGAAGTAACCACTAGATTGTGTACTGTTGAAGTAACCACTAGATTGTTCGCTGTTGAAGTAACCACTAGATTGTGTGCTGTTGAAGTAACCACTAGATTGTGTGCTGTTGAAGAAACCACTAGATTGTGTGCTGTTGAAGTAACCACTAGATTGTGTGCTTCTAAAGTAACCAATAGATTGGGTGCTGTTGAAGTAACCACTAGATTGTGTGCTGTTGAAGAAACCACTAGATTGTGTGCTGTTGAAGTAACCACTAGATTGTGTGCTTCTAAAGTAACCAATAGATTGGGTGCTGTTGAAGTAACCACTAGATTGTGTGCTGTTGAAGTAACCACTAGATTGTGTGCTGTTGAAGTAACCACTAGATTGTGTGCTGTTGAAGAAACCACTAGATTGTGTGCTGTTGAAGTAAGCACCAGATTGTGTGCTGTTGAAGTAACCACTAGATTGTGTGCTGTTGAGGTAACCACTAGATTGTGTGCTGTTTAAGTAACCACTAGATTGTGTGCTTTTGAGGAAACCACTAGATTGTGTGCTGTTGAAGTAAGCACCAGATTGTGTGCTGTTGAAGTAACCACTAGATTGTGTGCTGTTGAGGTAACCACTAGATTGTGTGCTGTTTAAGTAACCACTAGATTGTGTGCTTTTGAGGAAACCACTAGATTGTGTGCTGTTGAAGTAACCACTAGATTGTGTGCTGTTGAAGTAACCACTAGATTGTGTGTTGTAGAAGTAACCACTAGATTGTGTGCTGCTGAAGTAACCACTAGATTGTGTGCTGTTGAGGTAACCAGCTGATTGTGTGCTGTTGAAGTAACCACTTGATTGTGTGCTGTTGAAGTAACCACTAGATTGTGTGCTGCTGAAGTAACCACTAGATTGTGTGCTGTTGAGGTAACCACTAGATTGTGTGCTGCTGAAGTAACCACTAGATTGTGTGCTGTTGAGGTAACCAGCTGATTGTGTGCTGTTGAAGTAACCACTAGATTGTTCGCTGTTGAAGTAACCACTAGATTGTGTGCTGTTGAAGTAACCACTAGATTGTGTGCTGTTGAAGTAACCACTAGATTGTGTGCTGTTGAAGTAACCACTAGATTGTGTGCTGTTGAAGTAACCACTAGATTGTGTGTTGTTGAAGTAAC